AGTCCCTATGCTGGCTCCCCTGTCCTCTCTCCCCTGTCCCCGTACGGCCCCTGTCCTCGGAGGGGTCCCCTCTCACCTGTCGTCTGTTCCCAGTCCCCCCTCCCCTGTCCCCACACAGCTCCTGTTCCAACTCACCTGTCCCTTGTCCCGCTCACCTATCCCCTGTCCCCACTCGCCTGTCCCCTGTCCCGGCTCACCTGTTCCCGCACATCCCCTGTCCTTACACAGCCCCTATCCTGCCTTACCTGTCCCTTGTCCCGCTCACCTGTCCCTGCACATCCCCTGTCGCCTGCCCCTGTCCCCTCTCCCTGTCCCCTGTCCCAGTTCACTTGTCCCCGCACATCCCCTGTCCCCTGCCCCGGCTCACTTGTCCCCGCACATCCCCTGTCCCCTCACCGCCCCCTCCTCTCCCCCAGACCCGTCGCGGCGCCGCGGGACCTGAGGGGCGTAGCCGGGGCACGAAGGAGGCGGGGCCAACGCGCTCCTCGCATTCCCATTGGCGGCTCCTCCTGCCCGTCTGGGCGGGAGGCGTTGCTGATTGGGCCGGCCCGTCCTCCCCCTTGTCCCGGGCGGGCGAGCGGCGCTGTCGGCGCGGCGGGCGCGGGTCCTGTGGCAGCGACAGTGACAGCGCGGAGCGAGCGAGCCGCAGGTAAGGGCAGGGCCGCCGCCGCGGGGGCTTCCTCCTTCTCCAGCGGGGCAGCGCAGCGCTGCCCCGCCGACCTGCGTTATGCAACCGCCCCGCGGCCGCGCTCACCTCGGGGTCCCTCCACCTTCCCGCGGCTCTCGGCGCGATGCGCGGCGAGCCCGCGGTTGCCCGCGGTCGCCCCCACCTCGGGCGGTGCGTGTCCCGCTGGGATGCGGAGGAGCGCGGTGAGGAGGCAGTGGGAGCGATGGGAAGGGGGTTTGCAGCGGTGCGAACCCGGACCAGGTACTCGGGAGCTTCGAGCTGGAGCGCGCTGGGAGCCCGAATCCCTGCGGGAGACTCTGCACGGGCTGCGTTGAACTTGGCTGCGGCATCCAGGGAGGGATGACTTTCGAGTGAAAGAGGGTTGATTTAAATTAGATATTAGGAGTAAATTCTTTGCTGTGAGGGAGGTGAGGGTTAGGGTTAGGGTTAGGGTTAGGCAGAAGTTGCCCAGAGAAGTGGTGGATGCCCCATCCCTGGAAGTCCTCACGACTAGGTTGGACGGGGCTCTAAACAACCTGGTCTAGTGGAAGGGGTGCCTGCCCGTGGCAAAGGGTTGGAACTGGATGATCTTTAAAGTCCCTTCCAACCCAAACCATTCAGTGATCCCACACCAGTGTCATTTGATGCTTATATAACAGGTAGCTCTCCAAAGTTACTGGTTTGTTCAGGTTTTTTCCCCACCTCTCCTAGATTATTTTGCTACTCTTTAAAATACTGTGGTCCTTTACTGCTTGAGTTTGGAGTTTAATGAAGTTTCTTAAAAGGAAAATGTATGATAGGTTTATGCAGCTGAAAGAAATCATACAAACGAGAATTGTAGTTTAAGCAGGGATTGTGCTTTATGTCAGCTTCTGTCTTAGGCTTTCAAGTTTTGTCCTTACAAATGGTTTGCTCTTTGTTTAGCTAGTTAGGATGTCTCCTTTGTAGAAAAGGAAAACTCTTTTTCTGTGAAAATACATAATTACTGTAAAGAAACTGCTGCATTTATCCTTGCAGTAAAACTAAATTATATGGCTGCATGTCATTTCTGAACAGATGAAAGTCTGAATACTGTGAGAATATAAAACAGTGACTAAAACTGCAAACACATAACAGTAAGCAAGGACAGAAGAAGATTTTCTGTAGATGATTGGCTCTGTTGACTAGTAACTGGTGCCTTTAACAGCGAGAACTGTTCCATCCTCCTTAAAGTTCTGAGAAGTTGTCAGCTAGGTGATCTAGTTTCTGTCTTCTTCCAAATATTGTAGTGTGCATTCAGATTCAGTGGCCTGGTCTGTCATTGTGTTGAAAATGTTTGTCATTGCACTGGTGTCCTTAATGGCTTTTTTAGGTTATAAATTACTCGTGTGTGCCAGCAGGAAATCCTTTTAGAGGAAACTTTGGAATTTTATTCCAAGTCATCATGCTGCCTTGAGTCTTTTCTAGGAGTTAAAGCACTGTGAACAGCTCCTGTTGCAGGTAGTTCTGACATAGATGGGTTTTTTTCCTTTTTTTCCCCTTCTAACAGGGAAAGAGAAAGCAGGTTTTGGTAAGAATTGGGGTATGGTTATAAATTTCAGGTTACAAGCTGTTAAACGAGTGTTCCACTGACCCCTGTGTGAGGTGACAGCTCTGGCTGAAGGCCAGTGAAGCTCTAATACCCCTTATAAAACGGGCTTGCTTTAAATAGATTAGCATAGAGGCCAAGTGAAGGTAATCAGGAAGCTTGTTCTGGTTTCTTTGTGTTTGGGGAGGGCTTTTTTTGTTCTTTGAATACCTTAATGTTGCCATGGTAACGGTGGTGCCCGATTGATCGGAGCTCAGCTTCTTGGCCGTAAGAACAGCACATGAAATCTTCACACCTGGCATTGGTTGCTCCAAAGTATCACCTTCCAGTTGTGGAATGTGACTGGAGTCTTGGCTTATTTGGGCTCACCAGCATCTCCTGGCTTGTTTTCTCCAGGGTTGGAGATGCAGATGCTCAGCAAGCCCATGCCAACTGAGTCCCTTTGCTGGTCACAGGATACATCCCTGGCGTGGGAGGCACAGCTGAACCTTCTGTGCATTGTGCACATCTTGGGCTGCTTGAGCTGACCAGTCCTGCTTTAGAGGAATAAAACTGAATAGTCCCTTTGGATGTTAAAAGCTTCCAAAAATAGTTACAAAGTCTCAGCTAAATTTAATACGGCTAGAATGTCAATGGAAAGGATTAGAACATTTGGGATTTGCACCAGTTAGCATTTAGAAAAAAAAATAAATTAAAATCCTCTTCCTCATATCTGCCACTTTTGTAAGAGGAAAAGTGGAGATTGACACTGACTGTTTTTGTGTGATGCCAGCCAAATTGGAGCTAAAAGGTGAGTGGACACCTGTACTGGTGATTTTGATTCCTGGAAGGGGGATAATCGTTGCCCAGGTGGGAGACCCGGGGTGAAGGCTGAGGAGGGAAGGGGAGGGGGTGACTTTAGTCCATATTGCTTTTGAGACTGCAAAGGTTCATTAATCCTGTCATGTGAGGTCTTGTTCTGCTCTTTCTAATTAAGTAAAAAGCCTCCATTTAAGTCCATTGGAGCTTTCCACAGTAAAGAATTAGCACAATTAAAAATAATGCTCATTTCCAGTGCTCATTGTGCAGAGTGGAATGGAATTTCAGTAGGTTACTGTGTGACCTTCCCTGTTACACTCATTTCTCCTTACAAAGTCTTCAGCCTGGGTCCAGTTGACTTCAGCAGGAGTTGCATCCCTAGGCTGACACTACTGAAACTGGTGACTCTGCTGTTGTGAAGTTAGTGAATATTTTAAATAAAACCTGATTGTTTCAGTAAAATCTTACTCACTGGGTTTGATTTCCCTCTTCCCCCACTCCCCCCCACCTTTGAATTCTGGTAAAACTGGCTTTTTGGGGGTTGGGTGTTTTTTGCAGTGGGAGCCAAGATGGAATCCCTATGCTTTTCCTGGACTCTTCTAGAAGAGCAACTGCAACTTGCTTTGGGTTTTTTTTCCCAACATTTTCTTAATTCCTGCAGGTTACGGTTTCCAGGTTTGCACTCAGGACTCAATAATACTTGTAGTTTATAGCGATTATATTTAAAGCTTCTATTTGTAACATTTTGTTTGCTTTATTCTATTTTTAGTCATTTTGTTTGTCATGGCAAGCAGTGTTTAATAAAAAAAAAGTGAAGTTTCCTAGTGATTTCAAGAGATGTGTGCCTGTTTCTTGATGTCCCTCGGGGACTCTTTTTAAAAACTCTTAAGACAGGAAAATGTTCACCAAGGAAATGCCGTATTAGTTTCCATGAAAACAGTGGATAAATCTGTATGTGCTTGGTGGTATATAAGGCACTGGTCCATTCAAACACTTCATGTACTCATTTTGTTGAATGAAGATAATTTTTTTGCTGAAGAGTTTGGCTCTGCAGGGATCTAACTTCTTGGGAAGACGTACTTTCAGTTTTACACTAAGTAAGTATAATTTTTCAAATAGAAACTTCAGTGAGCTATTGCTGTTTGACAATGAATATAATTTTCTGCTGGTCTCTGCTAATTTTAATTAGAGGTGTGATGTGTCTAAAAATAGTGAGGTAACAGCATGAACACAGAGCTCCCACTTGGAATCTCTACAGATCATTTGGACACAGTGTCTACAGTGTTGAACTGACACGACCTGATCTGTTCCAGTGGTAAGGGTGTTTGCCTCACGTTTTGAGCTATCCCAAATAAGGAACCCTTGCACACCTGGACCACAGAGGAGAAATTTGAAATAACTTACATCAGTTAGGGTGTAGGGTCCTACATGTGTAGGGTCTGGAGGGGAAGGGACTGCACTCTTGGGGTTCTCTGTTCTGTGTGATGTATTTTCTGACTTGAAACTTCAGGGTCAAAACCTTACACCAAATTCAGAAATAACACAGATAATGTTTGGGTGAACTTTAAGTAAAGGGAATAAATGGATGTGGCAAGCGATCAGCATTAGCTGGAGGTTACATGAACATGGGCTCAGGCTTGATTATGCCTCAGTATCTCTGACTTCTTAAGGGATCCTGCTACAGAGTTTGCTGGTGTGATCCCAGTTCAGATCTTGGATAATTTAGCATCAGTGTTGGTGCTGGATGATGCCTTGTTGTTATTGCATTATTTTTTCATGATATTGCCTCTTCTGTTTGAAATTCTGTATGATAGCTTCTGATATCTTAAGTATTTGAAAAATTTCCTGATGTGGGAATGGAGAAGCAAATGCACAATTCAGTTTGAACTCACTGCATTTTAAAAGTAAAATAAGTATGGTTCACTCTTATGTGGATGTCTTTTTTTTTTTTTAATATAAAAGCGACCCTTAGTGGGGGAAGTTAACTTATTTTGTCAGAACCTGTTGAAAGGAGCTTTAATATAAACAGAAATGTGATCCGGTGATTGTATTACAGTTACATAAAAGATTACTTTTAATTGGGCTTATTTTATATGGAAATCCAGTTCATGGATTATAAATGATTTAGGATTAATTGTTTTAAGGGATTTGAAATGTAAATTCTTTTGTTCTAAATTAGTAGAATAATTGGAAAGAAAATATTTTTTTGCCAGAGGACTGCCTGGAGTGGCTAAGTAACTTCAAGGAAGCCACGAAACACTACTCCCAACAGAACACCTGAACCTTAAGGTGATTAACAGACAAGAAAGCATACATAGTTATGATTTTTACACACATATATATATATAAAATTTTTTGTGTGTGACATTATTAATGTGTAATATTACTTATAATGTGGAAAAAGGTAAGCTTTCTGGCTCATGACTGGCTGGGGATAACTTCTGATATGGTGATTTACGACGTTCATGCAGAGCTGTGGAAACTGGGATTATAATTTCGTGAATGCTTTAAGTAGATTTGTGCTGAAAAGTGCAATCCTGACCTTTGCTGTTGTCTGCCCATTCCCAAACTTGGCCTTGATCTTCCTGGTTGCTACAAATATTTTTGCAGTCATGGAGTGACTCAGGTCAGTTACCTACCGAATAGACCTACCTAGTGGAGTTAAACCCAAACTTTTTTTCCCTAGGCCTGGTCTTTTCTTCTGACTGAATCAGTCTGTGTGGTTGTGCCATGAATCTGAGCAGGAGATGCTTTCTCCACTAGAAAAGGCAGCATTGGGCCTTTGCCTGTGTAGGGAAGTGACTGGTGTTGGAAGTGAGCAGCCCAAGGTGTGTGACAGATGATGTTGCATCTTTTGGCAGAAGTGCTAGTTTGTCCAGTCAGAGTCTGAATTTACAGCCCTAGGGTTTAAAGTGTGCTAGCACATGTTGTTGATTCAGGTGTGTTTGTCCCCTCTGATTATTGCTGAGCTCAGGCTCATAGGCAGTTTATTTCTCTTGGGGAACATAAATGTATTTTATTAGTGAGATTTCCCTCACTAGTGGTGCTGGGCTTAATATTATGCAGTACATGGCCCTTGTATAAGACAAAGTAAACTTTCTGAAACAATTGTTATTTCATACACATGTTCTTAACTGTGCATCTCCCATCATAAATTGGGCAGAGGATATAATAATCAGTTGATTATTATATAAGTTGACTTGCTAGTGGAGGGAACACTCTCAATGTATCCGAAGTGTAGAAAAGGCATGTGCAGGAATACACACCTACCTACAAGGTGGAAAAGTGATGGTTAAAAGATGTGTGACAGTGACTTTCTTAAAAAGACTTGTCCAGTACCAAAGCCCCACCGGGTAAATCTGTCTCAATAATTGGCTGAAAAAAGAAACAGGCTTTTCCTGTTCAAGAGCTCTAGCCGAGCAAAACTACTGACATAGTATGATGTAAGTATTTACTAACTTCTAATCTTGGCTGCTGTAGTGTATGCTAATTTTGTTACTGGTTAAAAACCTGAGCTTCATGGTTGTAACTTAAAATCCTGTTCTGTTTTGTTTCTTGTCATAGTGGTTTTGCTGAATTCCTAACTTGAAAGCTTTTCTATCTAGTACCTTCCAGAAGAGGAAAAATATGGCTCTTCCAGGAGGGAAAAATAAACAACTCTTTAGTGAGGAAACCTATAGACTTTTCTGACGTCTGTTAATAGACTGAGATTATTTACTCTCTGCACACCCTAATAGCTTTGTTGTGCATTGGGAAAGGAGGTATGAAACTTGTTAGCTGCCATGAAGTTAGCTTTAGCATTCATAATCCAAATTCCTACAAGTTTTGAGTGTCAGCCTGTATGACTATCAAATAGTATCTTCCCTGACTGCAAGTCGTTTGCCTGTTGTGAATGAAATACTTCATACAGACTGACAGAAGCCTGCTCTGCCACGTAAATTATGTTTTGTAACACACTGGGTTTGAGGTTTATTTTCATAAACCTAATGACACAGGCTAGACGTGATGACAAACACACTTAGAGATGATTGTTCTTGAAGGAGATGATCTGTTATTGCTTTTTGGTAGAGAAAGTATTACATTCTGAAGTGAAATTTCTGGCTGCTGTGAGGATTTCTTTATAGTACTTCCCTGGATATGTTTACCTTGAAATGTACAGTAGTACTAGGCTTAAGAGAGTTGGTTCAAATACCAGAGGCAATGTTGTGTCATACTGAACCATCTCCTCTGTCATTTGTTTGGGTTTGGTTTTTTTCAGTTAGAATTAAGTTCCTAGACTGAGATTAGTTGGAGATAGTTGTGCTAATATCGGACTGACCTGATGAAGAAAAAATAGCATGTATTTGATAGCTGAAAAACCTGTCCTCAGGTCAACACAGTAAAAAGAGCTGGCAGTCCTGAGGCTTTCATTCTACACCTGCTTCCTCACAGCACTGCATCCTTGTTTAACCCCCTCCTTTATAATTTACATGCATGGAGTCCAGAACTAGAAAACAATTCTGGTTTTAGCTGTGTAATATACTTTACTACCTGGAGAAGGAGGACAGCTGAGATCCTGTGACCTACCAGCTCTCTGCACATCACTGTGTGCGCTATGAGTGGTGTTGGTGTCCAGCAGAGACCTCTGGAAGAGTCCTGAATTACCCTGGTGTGACCTTGTGGCTCGGACTGGATGACTTCTGCATCCCCCTTCCAGCCTTAGTGATTCTGACTAATAAATCTGTCTCTCACGTGATTTGGGAGTGTAGTGTGGACTCAGCTCCAAACTGATACTTTTAAGCATCACTTCAACTTGGTTTCTTGAGAACTTCTGTCATTAGCCCTGAGACTTCAGCAATAACAATTACTGATATTTCCATAACCTTATGTTATGGAACGATGTGCTCTGTCATCAGCCAAATATAATTTCAGAGCAGCAGCAGAGCAGGGGTGATATGAAAGACACAGCCATAGCAAATTAGCTCCATAATTTAGCTTTACTTTGCTGAGATTAAATGTAATAAGCCCATTGGGTTTAATTTTGGGCACTAGTTCTATATAGTGTGTTTGAGTTAATATTTACAGCTATTTATAGAGAATAGCAAGTATGCAAGAGAGCAAGGGCAAATCTGAAACAGATGAGCACTCTGCCTTTATGTAACTCTCTAACTCCTTGTGTTATGACAAAAAAAAAGGCAGCTAATGATTGCATATTATTATTGAAAGAAACAAATATAAGGGAATTAATTATTATCCAGTAAGCTTCTAGTCAGTTAAACAGAGCTCTATAGTGGAATTTGATGTCAAATACATAGGTACTAAGGACTGCTAAATACCTGATTTAATACTAATTAACACACTGATAATTAATTGGACTTTGACTTATTCCCCTTGGCTGGTATGTTACTTCTGTGTGTCTTAAAATTACCTTTCTATTCTGATGCATTTGGGGTAAAAGTTCCAAAAGTCAGCAAGACTTTCCTAAAAGTGCTGAGAATCATCTTAAGTCTGTGCACCCCTTAACTTTATTTGCTGCCTAATCTGATTAAGATGGGCATGGGCTAATGAGCATGGAAAAACAAGGTAAGTTCTGTACTGAAACTGCAGAAAAAATTGGCTTTATTCTTTTTTAAGAGACGTGTCTTAGTTATATTGCTTTTCGATGATTCTATTTTCATGCTGCTTTCCAACAGGGTCTTTTTTTTTTCCCCGTGAGTTGACACCTGGTATAATTTTCAAAGTTATTTTCATTTTCTTCTTGCTCAGTGCATTACACTTCCAAAGCTGGCTGCAAGCTCAAAAGCACCAGCCTGCCTTACCAGTAACAAACATGGCACTCCTAAAGCCAAATACAACATAGTATTTCCTTTGAGGGTAAAGTCTCACTTCTTGTTGTGTCCAGCAGCTTGTGCTGATATGTTCAGGTCTTTCCTGTGCTAAAAAATGAACCTAAAGCCAAGTCCCTTGGTGACACTGGTATTCAATGACCTGTGTCAGAGGTCAGTTTTTGCCTTAAAATAGTGTGAAATTTACCTTCTACAAACTAAGCCCCCAGACTAAGAATCTCTGGCTTAATTTGTAGATGTGGAACGTTTAAAAACGTAGTGTAACTGTGTGTCACTTCTCCATGCTGCCAGGGATGAGGGGAGACTCCTACTTCTTTGGAATGCGAGGCCTGGGTCACTATGGCTGCATCCCGGAGGATGGAGGACAGTTCTTACTCTACTCTATAAATGGAGACAACAGCTTGAAGAGATGTTTTGCAGAGGAAGATTTTCATGAAATAATTGATTTCAACGATCTCCCAAATTCTCTCTTCGCCTGCAACGTTCACCAGTCCGTGTTTGAAGACGAGGACAGTAAGGTACTGTGCCAGTTTCCGTGTTTTCTATGCAAGAGAAACCTATGCTTTATATTTGTTTATTGCAGTCAATGAAACAGTTTAATGGGTCTTGTGCGAAGAAACTCGATCACAAATATGACTTCTTTCTATGGTGACAGCGCCACTCTGCCATGATGTTTATTTCAAGAGCTTAAAAGCCTTTTTGTCAGCTGAGGTCAACAAAAATGTTTTTCTTTTGTTCAGATTTGCAGAATATTGCAATGCAGGTTCATGTCTTCATGGCAGCTGCAGCTGCAGTGATGGTGGTGATGGCAGAGTTAAACATGTGATGGTTGCTCCCCGTTGCTGATCACGTACCACCGTGATGGGAGGCTGCCTTTCTGTATTTATCATAGAATCAGAAAATTGTTTGGCTTGGAAAAGAGCTCTAAGATCATTGAGTCCAACCATTCTCCCAGCACTGCCAAGTCCACCACTAAACCATGTCCCCAAATGCCACATCCACACATCTTTTAAAAACCCTCAGGGATGGTGACTCAACCTCTTCCCTGGACAGCCTGTTCCAATGCCTGGTGACCCTTTCAGTGAAGAAATTTTTCCTAATATCCAATCTAAACCTCCCCTGGCATGCCTTGAGACCATTTCCTCATGTCTTATCAATTGCTAATTTGGAAAAGAGACTAGCACTCATCTCACTACAACCTCCTCTCACGTAATTGTAGAGAAACAGATAAGGTCTGAAGTATTTTGAGTTATCTGTAATACTGTGTTCTCACTATCATTCATTTTAGATTTTCCAGATAAAAAAGAAAAGAGAAACTTTATGAAAATATTTTTAACTTTGCAATTAATCTCAAACAGAACGTTGAGAACAACGTGCTCTTAAAATAATAATTAAAAAAAAACAACTTGTGTAGGAAGCATTCAGTTCCTGTTTCTTAGTCTGGTGTTCTTCCTGACTGAGACTTCAGGAATATAAAACTAATAGCTTGGGGCTTTGTTGTCTGATGAAATGAGTCTGGGCTAATTGTTATGGGCACATCTGAGACTACATGGGTATCCTGTTATGAATTTTCAATTCAGAAACAAGCTGGCAGTGGTACAGTGGGTTTTGGCTGGAACTGTCTGACATATCCAGATAAAACTACAAATTCACCGGGACCAGAGCTTGCCAGGATGGACGAGCTCTTTAGTGGTGAAATTGTCAGATGAAAGAGAAATAAAACAAAACTTCTGAGGATACAGGCTTCCTGTTAAAGGTGCCAAAAGTGGTGTCTGTGGAGGTTGCACAAGTGGAATTGTTTGGGTTTAATTTTTTTATGCATCTTTGTCTTCCATAATGATGTCTTGTGTATGTTTGAGTAATATAGATTAAAAGAATGCAAAGGTTCATACCACAGCACTAAGTAAAATATTCATATTTATATATATAAAAATCCCACACTCTAAATTACAATTTTGGAAAATAGTGCCCTATTGTATGTAAGACTTCTTGCTAATAAGCATCTTGAATTTATGTTATGCCATTTTGCAGAATTTTCTAATCATCTGTTAATGAGTTGAAGGGATCTGAAAGTCCACTTTTAAAGGAGGAAGAAAGAAGCCTGCCTAGAACTAGACAATCTCTCTTCATCCTGCAGAGATTCTATCCCCACTTGCTCCTGAGCTTTCGCTTTTGAGAGCTGCATTCTGGTATTTAGCTGATGGCTTAGTTAGGAAATGGAATGGGTGATTATGTAAGTATGTGGGATAGCAATCCCCAAAGACTTGCAGGACTTAAGGATGTGTCTTAAGAATAGCAGCTGGGTTGTGGAGGTGGATATTCTGAGCCACGTGCAGGTCTGTAAACTGTCGATGCCATGGATTGAACAGCTCTGTTTGCAGGTAAGTAGTTACTCCTGTAAGTCTATATTTATGGAGATGGGATTACCTTCAGATTTCTCATTAAATTCAACAACCTGGGGAGTTGATTATGGTTTTATTATTCCTGTAAAACATGTACTTGTGTTCCCAGTTGATTAATACCCATAATCCTTTCTATTAATAACTGTTGCTGCAAGATAAGAGCACACGTGAATTCAATATAAAATATTGTAGAGTTACTAAGCTAAACTTTAAAATCTCACACCATCATAATAAATGCTGCTAACAATCATATCTTCAATTATATATTGATCCAAAGTATATGTAAAGGTACACTAAACTTGTTGAAATGGTATACTACAGTAATGGTTTCGTCTACAGTCGTTTCATTGTGTTATTCATTCTACAGAAAGTAAAGTTTTTTGTAAGGTATCTTTGACTTTTACTCCTGGCCTGCACTTATCAGAAGACAGTGAAAGTCTAATTAGTTTGAAAGTTACAATTTAGCTATTAAATAAAGCTGGAGAAACCTGTCATTGAAAATAGTTGATTTGGTGTATGAACTTCCTACATAAATAATATTCAAAAATATAACGTTCTGAGTGGCTTTAACAACAGTCTTAATGTAGAGAATTTACACTCAGTTTTTTAAGTTAGGTTACCTGAAGTGTTTAAGAAACTGAACCATCAAGTCCAAACTTCTAACATAAATATCTAAGCAATATACTGAATAAATATAGGTTTTAAAAGCAAAGGGCTTAAATATTTTTTGTTTTAATTTGAAGACGTGTAACTCCTTTGTATCAGATATAGGGTAAATTCCAGTTTGTGCTGGAGTACAGACTTCCTGCAACCCAGAGGGAACACTTGGCTGCCCATACACCTGTGCTGTGGATAATCAGATTTACTTTGCCTGTTCTTACCAGGTCCTGTGTCAGAAATACCCTTTCACCAGTATTGTGACTCTGCAATCCCTCTTAGAAGGGATTCTGTGCTGCCTGTCAAAAGCAATGATGGCACCTGTTGAGAGCCTGAGTTTTGACCACCGTTTTCTGAAGATGAGGAATTCTTGCAGCTGAAGTGCAGGCAAAGACACGGGGTCAGGCCAGGTTTGTTTTTAATCCTGGCTGGCACCCTGAGGTCTCACCAGAGTGAGTCTGAAGAGTTGTGGGGCCTGGGATGTGGAGATGAATGTTGCCATCAGGCTCCAAGGAAGCTGCTCAGAACTCACTGCCCTTAAACACTGAAGAAAGGGGGAATATAGATTAATGCTACCTACATGTACCTGATTGTGTTACAGCAACAACATATGGTCAAAAAAAGTTTCCCTACCCTTCAGGCCTGTGTTCTTGGAAAGAAATTTGTACTTAGGTAGGAGAGTGCCCCAGATAACTGGGTCGATAACGTGGGCATTTAAGGATTTGTGCAGGATGGCTTAGCAGCTTCACTGCGATAACAGCTTTCTACTACTGAGGGGAGGTGGCTTTGCTTATCTCCACTCCCATCATGGACAGCCTGCTCCTTTCTACAGAAAATGAAATTGTACCTTCTTTAGAGTGTGTTAGAAAATATGGGGATTTTTAGTTTCTAAAAACCAGCAAAGGTGTGGAGGAGATTATCTAACAGGATAATCTATTGCAAATCTGGGATCGCATTCGGCTGCCTCCCCGTCACTGGCCTGTGTTCTGATCATTTGTTTTGGCATAAATCTGTTAGTGATAGGGGCAGATTACTTTGGGTTTTGGAGTATACAGGACTGACTTGGTTGGGTCGTGGAAGTCTTATTGTAAAGAAGCTAAAATTAAAATTACGTCTAAACCCTGGGATTTGTCGCATCTCTTGGAAAAACTGAGGGGACTGCTTACGTGGGCAAGATAGGGCAAAATTGAGACTTATTTTTGGCTGATAGTGTGACTGAATGGGAGGTGCAGCTCCTTTTAGCTTTCCTGATAAAGCTATTGTGTTGGTGAGCCAAAGGGCATGACTCTTAATAACTCCTAAGGGTGTGTTTCAGCAGTTAATTGCTACCCATAGCCCTTAAACTTTCTGCATAGTAAACCTTTTGTTGTGCTTTTGTTGTGCATATATCACTGTTTTGTAAAACCATCCTTTCTCTTCTGCGACTCGAGCTTCCTTCAGGCTGAGACTGGTAAACACACTGTCAAAGTGAAGCATCTTTGTCTCTTAAGATAGTTTCTTCAGATGCTGTAGCGCCTCGGGAAGTGCTTAAGCAAAGCTGTCATTATTAGAATATGCTTACGTGAGGGAAGGATGTGTTTCCTAAAGCTGTTTACAGGCTGTATGCTCCCTTTTTATCCCATTCTTTTGGCTCAAATTGGAAGGAGCACCGGTTAGGCTTGATAGTTTTATTTCGCATAAAGAATGATTCATCAGTTTCTGAGCATTTTAGTTATGGTGAAGCTGCCTAGGCAATGATAGCCAAAGTCCATTAAGTGCCTTTTCTTGCCAATGTAATTTAAACCAATAGGAGATATTACTGTTATTTCTGCGTGGAAAAAAATAGTGATAAACGCATGTCCAGTTCTGGATTTCTCAATCCAAGGAAGACATGGACTTACTGGGGAGAGGCTACTGAGATGAAGGAACTGGACCTGTCTGCTGTGAAGAAAGGCCAAGAAAGCTGTGCCTGTTGAGCTGGAGATGGGAAAGCTCAGGTGGATCTTACCAGTGTGTACTATGACGACCTGAAGACAGGGTGCAAAGAAGGCTGATTCAGGGTCTTTTCAGTGGTGTCAAGTGCCAGGGCCAGAGGCCACCGGCATCAGCTAAAAGACAGGAGGTTCTGTTCCCGCTGAATATCAGGAAACACTTTTTTGCCATGACAGTCACTGAGCACTGGCACAGGGTGCCCAGGGAGGTGGTACAGTCTCTCTCTCTCTCTCCACGGAGATATTCCAAAGCTGACTGGACATAGTCCTAAAGCATCTGGACTCTAAATCTCCCTGCTTGAGCCAGGGGGATGTATTGATCTCCAGAGGTCCTTTCCAACCTCCACCAGTCTGATTCATTGAACATTTGCTGAAGTGTATCCTAATTCTTCTGATGAAGAGAGTCAGTGTGTGAAGGCAAGACTGGGAATGGAGGTGATTAAAAATGCATTTCCTGAACCGTGAGCTTAATGGAGGCAGGGTGGGGAA